CTTAGCCAAACCCAAATCCTGCAAGCTTTCTTCATATGTTTAGTCAGTTGCTCTTTGCACTCTTTCCAAAGTCTCAACATCTTTTTGTAATGTGACCAAAACTGGATGCAGTATTCCAGGTGTGGGCTTACTAAGACTTTATAAAGTGGTACTAATATTTCATGTGGTTTTGATTCTATACAACCAAGGATTGTATTACTCCTTTGTTCCATAGCCAGGTTGGAAGTGAGGTTTTCTACACTGAAGACTTTTCCTGCTTCCTGTGGACGAATTGGGAGAATTCAGAACTTAATTTTTAATATTTTTTATTATTTAAAGAAATATATAGAATAAAACAAATTTTTAAAAAAGAATGAAAGAGTAAGGTGCTGAAATAAAATTATAAAGACATAACTTCAGATTTTCTTTTATAGCAGTTGTAAATATAAATATAAAATATCCTATGGTTACGATACTGTTTATATTTTCTCTATATTAATCTTTTAATTTTGTTCTAATCCTCAAAATCATTTTTGTTTCCCACAAAAAGTCAAAAGGTTTTCAATCATTAAGGTTGTACAATGTTCCTCTAATTAAAGCAGTCAATTTGGCCATCACAACAAGTTCCATCATCTTCACTATTAGGAATACAATAACATGTTTTCATCCTGGTGCATATAATAGTCTTCATCATCATCATCACCACCATCATTTTAGCTATTGTCTATCCACTGCAGGATGAAGGCCTCTTGCATGTTTGCATGTTTCCAATCCATATGGTCGTGAGCTTCCTTTTACCAATTGAGCCTGCCATACTTGCTGAATAATAATAGCAGTTATATGTAAAAAAAAGTTCCATAATTTTTTTCCAGCTGCTTATCCATCAATCTCCCCCCAAAAGCCTCTGATTTAATGGTTATATGAGTCTTTAAAATCTTTTGTGTTATATGTAGTTGAGTCCAAAATTTTCTGTGTTTGTTACAAGTAATTCTCAATCTATGACCACAATAGAGCTCAAAATTTCTGTTGCTAAATAAGATAGTTATTGAGTGAGTTTTGCCCCATTTTGCGATCTTTCCTGCCACAGTTGTAAATGAATCATTGAAGTTTTAAAGTTCATAACAGGTTGTTAAGTGAATCTGATTTCCCTGTTGACTTTGCTTGTCAGAAGGTTGCACGGGGAATCAAGTGATCCGGGGATGCAGCAACAGTTTTTAGTGTAAAAAGAAAAATGTCATAACTCACTTTTGTTGTAACTTTTAATGGTCACTAAACAAACTATTGTAAGTTGAGGACTACCTGTGCATGTTTGCCAAGTACAAAATACCCTTTCTTGCTGATTATATTTCCAGCAAAAGTTTCAGAAGCTTTTATATATTGACAGTTTTTCTTATGACATCTATTCTCATGACATGTATTTTCTCATAACATGTATCATGATTTTATAAAAATTATCTTTATAACATAAATTTCAGTCCTTTCAACCACACATTCTCCCTTTGATCCATGTGTATATCATTCTTTCACTTGTTCTTCTGTTTCATATTTCAATAAAATATATATTTTTAGCAATAATATCATTTGTGCACCGTTCCACTTCAAATTCAGACTTAACAATGTTCAAAAGTTCCTTTATATACTTTAAAACTTTGTAATCAGGGTACATACGAAATCCACTGAAATGAATATCTCTCTACCACCAGTTATTTTGTTTTTATTCTACATTTTCCTCAACAGAATTCTTACACATCAAAGTAAATCAACTTTATAATCATTTTCATAAAAAGCTTCTTGTGCTGAGAGTGACAAAGTATTTTCAGGCATGGCCTTAAGTTCATATCTGTTCCATATTCTCAATATGGCACATTTAACAAATTGATGTTAAAATTTACATAAACCTTAGTTTGATCATATCAGATATCTGCTACCCAAATCTTCAATCATGACCTTTTAACTCGAAGACTTTTGTTTCTTGGCAGCATCCATTCTTTTATTTGGATCAAACAGCACGGTACAAATATAGTTTCAAATTAGGTAAGCCGCCTCTTGCTTCTTTCAACAACTTATATTTCACTCATGGTTTTCCCCCTTGCTAAACAAGTTTGGCTGTATCTGCCATTGTTTAAATCGGGTGGGCAAACTACGGCCCGCGGGCCACATCCGGCCCGTTAGTCTTTTTAATCTGGCCCAACGAAGATTGGTACAGAATGAAGGTTTGATGTGAATGATTGAATGACTATATTCATTTGATTTTGACTTATAATGACAGGCATTTCGACACCAAGTGGCGGCCTGTCTGTCAAATTTTAAAAGTCAATGAGGCCCCCAAGCCAAAAAGTTTGTCCTCCCCTGGTTTAAATGATACATCAGACGTCAAAACTGGTATCTGAAATAAAAATAATATCCTACGAAAGACATCTCAATTCTCTACAACCATGACAATTGTGCTTCCTTGTACCATAGTGTGTCTTTGATTTCATTCCAGTCTTAACATAATTGTTGGGTATATGGATACACCAACCAGGTTTGGGTTGAATAAATATGTAAACCTAGGTTAAAGTGTTTTGTAGCTTTAAGCAAGAAACTGCAATGTCATTGTGGGTGCGGTTGCAGGCAGTAATAAAGGTAGGAAGGGAAACGTAATAGACCCGGCTTCTGGATGCAACTGTCTGAGTCCCTGGATTCTGGATGCACCTGGTTCTGTTCCTGGTCTGCTGCCTGCTGTGTTGGAACGTCTATCTGCTTACTCTGGATGGCTACTGTGCCAGATACCATTTCAACTGAACACAAGGACTGTTTGCTTGGTGAGCTGAGGATTCAGCGTTGTCTTTGAGATAAAGGTATCGGGAGGAGAAGATTTACAAGCAGATAAGGACATTGTATTTACTGTTAATGGACTTGATAACTGGATGGATATACTGGATAATGATATATGGACTGAATGACACTTCTTAATCTCTGTGTGAATTAAATAACTATTTTAAAACCACAAACAGTGTTTTTGTCTCCAGTGTGTGTATACTCTTGGGCCCACTCTCTCTCTCATTTGCCAGCCTGGCTTGACTGCTGCTGCATACTCTGCTTGGGGGTTTATCCCCAAACTCTAACAATAATGATTTTGAAAAAGCATACAATTTATATTTCTCACTTGTGACTGTATGACTGTAACTTTGTCGCTTGTATCCTTATGATTTATATTGATTGTTTCCTAGTATGATTTGATTGCTTATTGTACCCTATGACTATTATTAAGTGATGTACCTTATGATTCTTGACTCTTGATGAATGTATCTTTTCTTTTATGTACACTGAGAGCATTTGCACCAAGACAAATTCCTTGTGTCCAATTACACTTGGCCAATGAAGAATTCTACTCTTCTACTAATATTAATACCCATATATTTAATTGAAACCTATTTTATTCAATTCTGTTTGATCTTGTGTCTTCATATTTTTGTCAACATTCTTTGTTTTTCATTTGTTGATTTTGATCTTAAAACTTGCATTTGCACCAAATATCCCCATTAAAGTTTAGTTTCCATTTAAAAGTTCCTTTAGGACAAATACAATGTCATCTGCAAAGCCTCTTAATTTATATATATTTTTTAATCTTTACACCCTTAATCCTTTCCTCTTATGTCTCTGCTTCATATTTCTAAAGCTAAAATAAACAAAAGTGGCTGGATATAAAAGTCCACTTCAAATTGTCAAAGAATCTGCATCAAAAATAAAATAATGCAACTTGTTTTTCATTGTTCAAAATATTCTAAAATATCCAACACACTTCTTTTAACTGTGTTTTATGTAAAAACCCATCTTGATCTTAATGTAAAGATTCTTGTGAAATTATTTTCAGTCTATCAATTAGGATCATTGTGAACAGTTTATAATCATTAAGTTATTATATTGATCTATAATTTCTCATCAAAGTCAAATCCTGTCCTTTTGGATACTACATATGTATACAATTATGTAATTGACATATCAGACTGTTCCATATTAGCAGGCTTGAAACCCTGCGTTCCTATTGGTCTAGAAAAGCCGGATCGTGGTTGGATGGCTTGAACGTTCCTGATTGGCCCATACAGGGTTTGCCGCGATTGGCTGAAACCAAGCGCGGCAAACTCAAAGAGTTGTCATTGGCTGCCTAGCCGCGGCCAGTTCTATAAGAAGAGCTGCCACGCGCTAGGGTTCCCCAGTCCCAGAATCTATCTATTAAATAAAGAGCTGTTGTTCACTACTCAAGCCTCGTCTATTCATGGGACCCACAGACCATACTTAACACTGGCGATGAGGGTGGGATTCTGAGACAACAAGGCTAACCAGCACGTGGCAAACGGCGCAGAGACGACCAGCGAAATGGCCAGCAGCGCCACGCCGCCCACACCATTTAACCCAGCCAGCGAGGACTGGGAGTCCTACATTGATTGTTTCCAAATGTTTTTGGAATCCAACAACTTGAAAGACGCCACTGGCAGCAAGAAACGGGCGGTATTTTTAACGCATTGCGGACCCGCTGTTTTCAAAATGGCCAAGGCGCTAGCAAAGCCCGCAGATGTCAAGACGATGGATTGGGACAACCTAGCTCCCATCCTCCGAAACCACTATGCTCCGGCCGTACCAACTCTTATCCGAAGGCATGATTTTTATCAACGAGACCAGCGTGAGCATTGGTGAATTTGTGGCCGACCTGAGGGACCTTGGAGGTTTGTGCAGATTCGCTAACCTGGATGAGGCCATGCGAGACCGGGTCATTCTCGGCCTGAAAGACCCAGCACTCCAAAGCAGACTAACGGCCAAGGGTGACATCTCCCTCGCCAACGCCATAGCCGAAGCAACCGCAGCCGAAGCTACCCGCAAATCAGCGGCCCAAATGCAGCGTTCAAACGGAACCAATCGTCAATCGACCAGCGAGGCAACTACCACACCAGAAAAACTCACAGCCACCACCCACCATGGCGACGCCTAATCCCCTTCTGACAGCGAAGAAGAAGAGATTCACTGACTTCAGTCGGAATGCGATGGGCGAGACTGGCGAGGTCGTAAGTCGGGGTACCAGTGTGCCGGCTGCAGAGGAAATCACCCACGTTCCAAATGCAAGTTCCTGGATGCTGTTTGCCGACATTGCGAGAAGCGGGGGCATATCATTAAAGTATGCCGTAATAAAAGAAACTTCAGCCCCCGGCGTCGAGGCAACAGCCCGAGAAGACAAGATGGCAACCCCACCAAAAACCGGGACCGTCAGACTGACAGCTGGTGGAGCAGGGACGGCTGAAACAGAAGATTCAATGAGGCACCGCAAAGAGAAGAAACACACCAAACAGTCATCATCTTCCATAGATGCACGGAAGATACGCATCGAGGTCAGTATCGAAAACCAACCATGCACCATGGAGGTAGATTCTGGCTCCTACCTCTCCGTGGTCTCCTGGCTCACCATAAAGCATCTAATACCCAGCATACACCACCAAGAACTAAGTGACCAGAAATTGATCCTGAGGGACTACCAAGGGAACCGCATCCCAGTGGCTGGCATCGGGCATTTCAAGATCACCTACAAAAACTGCACCAATATTTTACCACTTACAATTGTTGATAAGGACCGCCCCAGCCTACTCGGATTACAATGGTTCACACCGCTAGGGATCGAGATGGCAGGCATTAATCACACAGACGAAGATTGGGAGGCGACGCTCGTTCGAGACTTCCAAGAGGTCTTCGATGACACTTTAGGCAAGTACAAGGGGTCCCCAATCTCCTTCAATCTTAGCCCAGACATCGCTCCCATCCGCCTCAAGCCGCGCCGAGTGCCATTTGCACTCAAACCTAAGATAGACGAGCAATTAAATAAGCTCATCGCGCAAGGGGTTTTAGAACCTATCGACCATGCCCGTTCGGAAACACCCATTGTCACCCTCATCAAACCAGATGGCTCCCTGAGAATCTGTGGAGACTACAAGGCCACCCTGAACCATGCCCTGCAGCAGAGTGCCTACCCTGTGCCAGTAGTCCAGCATCTCCTACACTCACTGGGGGGTGGCAGAATCTTTGCAAAGCTCGACCTGGCACAAGCCTATCAACAACTGCCAGTCGATGCTGAAACCGCCAAGGCACAAACGATCGTGACACATCGAGGAGCATTTAAATGCAACCGACTCCAATTTGGAGTCAGCGTCGCACCTGGCATTTTCCAAAGCCTAATGGAAAGACTGCTGCAGGGAATTAAAGGAGTCGTACCCTATTTCGACGATGTGCTAGTAGCAGCCCCCAATAAGAAACAATTGGAGAAATGGCTAAGAGCAGTCTTACAAAAATTTAAAGACTCCGGCCTCAAAGTAAAAAAAGAGAAGTGCCAACTATGTACTGAAAGGGTTGAATTCCTGGGGTACCTCCTAGACAGACATGGAATTCACCCTACTGACAAAAAACTAAAAGCCATCAAGGAAGCCCCCAGACCGAAAAATAAAACGGAACTCCAAGCATTCCTTGGACTCATTAATTTCTATAATGTTTTCCTACCCCAGAAGGCGACTATCGCAGAACCTTTGCATAGGCTCCTGGATGAAGCGGCATCCTGGATCTGGGGAAGGCGAGAGGAACATGCATTCCAACAAATAAAAAATCTTTTAACTTCCGACGCAGTCCTTATTCAGTATAAGAAAACCCTGCCGCTGACTGTCACATGCGACTCATCACCCTTTGTTGTTGGGGCAATCCTAAGCGACACCTTGCCGAATGGGAAAGAGGCACATTCTTCTCAAGAACCCTGTCCAAGCCGGAGAGGAACTACAGCCAGCTGGACAAAGAAGCCCTAGCCATCATCTCCGCAGTGAAAAGATTCCACGAATACATTTATGGTAGGACTTTTTCAATTATTACGGACCACAAACCCCTACTAGGCATTTTGGCTGGGAACAAACCCACTCCAACCATCCTGTCACCTAGGATGACGAGATGGTCTGAATTTCTTGCCGCTTATAATTACCGTTTAGCACACCGACCCGGCAAGACCATCTCGCACACTGACGCTTTAAGCCAATCCTCCCTACCAGACATGCAAGACGACCCAGCACCCACATTATCAATTTTACAAATAGAAACAGTAACCACGCCGCCATTGACCGCGCAAGACATTGCCCGCGAAACAAGAAGGGACAAACGCTTGGTGCAAGTCCTCAGCTGGTTGGAGAGGGGTTGGCCAGAAAGCGAAAAAAATAACCTCTTTAAACCATTTAAAAACCGGCAAACTGAACTTTTTTCACAACGGGGGTGCATTCTTTGGGGAGACCGTGTGATTATACCAGAAACATTACAGAAAAAAGTTCTAGACATGCTGCACGACGGGCACCCGGGCATTGTGCGAATGAAAGCCCTGGCCAGAAGCTACGCTTGGTGGCCAGGCATGGACAAACAAATAGAATCTTGGGTCGCCACTTGCAGCAGATGTCAAGAGACTCACTCGACTTCCCCTGCAGCTCCACCACTAGAATGGGAAACCCCCAGAGGCCCCTGGTCGCGAATCCATATTGACTTCGCGCGGCCAACCAAAGGACATACCTTTTTAATCACTGTTGATGCTTACTCAAATTGGCTCGAAGTAAGCAAAATGAAAACAGCCACCACAGAAGCCGTTATCAAGAAATTAAACAAACTTTTCGCCACGCATGGTCTGCCAGATGTGATAGTATCTGACAATGGACCTCAATTTACCGCATTGGCGTTTGAGCAATACTTGGCAGACCGTGGCATCCGACACGCATTGACATCGCCCACTCACCCGGCAGCGAACGGGTGAGCTGAACGCATGGTTCAGTTCACAAAAAAGACCATCCAAAAGATTGAACATGGCAATATCCACGAAAAAATCAACAAAATGCTCCTAATACAACATATCACACCCAACACCACCACGAACAAATGCCCAGCGGAATTACTCATGGGCAGAAGGCTCCGGTCACCTCTAGACCATTTGCACCCTACTTACACTCCAGAGAAACCCCCTGGATCTACTAGCAGACACCGAGCCTTCAACGTGGGAGACACTGTTTTCGCTAAAAATTTTACTGGGGACCCATTATGGCTACCTGCAAAGATCACCCAAGTCACCGGCCCCCGGTTCTACCGGCGTGAGACCACCGACGGGAGGAGCTGGAAATGGGCACATTGACCAGCTATGGTCTAGGCTGGCCACTTTTCCCCTCACAGACTCTAACCAAGAAACCAGAGGGTGGGGGGGAATCCTCAAACTTAGAAAGAGAACCAGTATCTGCGCAAGCAGAACACCCACACACACATTAAATAAAAATCAAACATTTAACCAGCAATACTTACCTGCAAACAGGGAACCGAGGCAGACGGGTGCTTCACCTGGAAGTAGCAGCTGGACAAGCTCAACCAGCCCAGAGAATCCAGGCAGGAGCGACAGAGCGAACGACTCGACCAACCCAGATACACCAGGCGGGAGACACAGCTATAGGTCTGGCTCACCCTTCCAGACGGTTCCATCGAGAAGCTTGAGAGCGACGCGGAGCCCGTCCGAACCTGACGACGACCAGAGACATTATGAACCGTGCAAGTCAAGTAGGCAGGTCCGAAGACCTGCCTACTTACGGGACTATGTTACCCCGCCCCTTGGACGGTACCAAGAGGGGAGGGGTGTTCCATATTAGCAGGCTTGAAACCCTGCATTCCTATTGGTCTAGAAAAGCTGAATCATGATTGAATGGCTTGAATGTTCCTGATTGGCCCATACAGGGTTTGCCGCGATTGGCTGAAACCAAGCGCGGCAAACTCAAAGTGTTGTCATTGGCTGCCTAGCTGCGGCCAGCTCTATAAGAAGAGCTGCCACGTGCTAGGGTTCCCCAGTCTCAGAATCTATCTATTAAATAAAGAGCTGTTGTTCACTACTCAAGCCTCATCTATTCATGAGACCCACAGACCATACTTAACACAGACATCTTTCCTTCCTGTAAGATAAAAGTAATCATATTTTGCAAAGATTACAAGAAATGATCATCAGAACATCTATAATAAAAACTTGATCATCTATCTGGTTGCAATACTTTTCCTAGTTTAATTTTTTTATACTTTCAGAAACCTGTCATCATTATAGGAACATTCATAATTTTTCATAATTTTGATAATCTGATAAAATTTTATTTTTAAAAAATATTTCTCTATTTTTCCCTACAGGGATATCATATCCTACAAATTAGTAATACTGATGAAAAACCTTTTGTACTGCCATTTTTTACCTTGAAAGCATGCAATATTAAACGTGTTCATTTTCCAAATTCAGTTTCAACAATATTTTGCAAACCTTAGCCATAACTTATTTATCACATTTTGAAATCACCTTTTATAGTATAAAACAATGACTTTTCTTATCTATGGAGATTCTCAGTCATCCAGGTCATGGTTAAAAGCAAAAGCGCTTTTTCAAAAGGAAACTGGACTTTCTTTTATTTTTCTTGAAGATGCTTAACTTTTCATTCAAGAAACTTTTTCAGTTCTGACTGAACATTGGAGAATGGAAGGACTTAGATTCCTTTTGCAGTCATCTGGTCATGAGCACTCTTTCTGAGAGTTTTTGAGGACACTTGGAGGTTTATGTGTGCCCTTAGGTCACCTGAATAAATGGGAGTAGAACCTTCTTGGAACTGCTGAAAGGACTGTGTTGTAAACAGGAGGTATGTGGTGTCATATCCCTCCCCCCTCTCTGGAGAGAGGGATGTTCAATCCTAATGTAGATGGCCTCTTTGACCCCTCTTTCAAACCAGCCATCCTCTGTTCAGAATGTGGACTTTGCTTTCTTAAAAAGAATGACCTTTGTCTTTCAAATGCAGATGGACTGCTGAATCTTGTCCTGATGAGTTTGTTCTCCTATGTTGTGCCATGCGTTTGTGAAGTGGTCATTTTGTTTCTCCAATATATAGATCTGCACATGTCTCACTGCATTGTACTGCATATATCGCATTGCTCAGTTTGTGTCTGGGTGTTTTATTCTTCGAGTGGCCAAGCTTCTGCCTTAGTGTATTTTTGGGTTTAAAGTGTGCATTTATATTGTGTTTGTTGAAAATCCTCCTGACCTTTTCAGAGATTCCTGCAACATATGGGATGATAACAATTCTGTATGTGTTGTTCTCTTCTTTGTCTGTTATGGAGGAGCTCCTGCTGCGGTTTTTTTTTAAATTATTTGATGAAGGCCCAGTTGGGATAGCCACAAGTTCTGAGGGCTTTCTTGATGTGTTTTAGTTCTATTTTTCTTTTCCATCTTTGGTGGTAGGCAAATCTTCAGACTGATGTTCTGATCACTTCGATTTTGTGCTCCAGTGGGTGGTGGTGAGACTCAAAATATAAATATTGATCTGTGTGTGGGGGTGGGGTTCTATTAACTTCAATGTTAAGGCTTCTTATTGATCTCCCTTAATGTGTACTGCACAGTCCAAGGAGGCCAGACTATTTTCCTTAACATCTTCTTAGTGTAGTCTGAAAACTAAGCCTTTGCTTTGTGGAGTCCTCTACTCTTCCCCCTTTTTATTTAACATTTACATGAGACCTCTGGGTGAAGTCATCTGATAGCTATTATATAAGATGCTGATAATTAATTACACATTCCTACATGGAATGAACAAGTAATGACATGAAGATGCTTTTGCAATGTCGTAAGTCTACGGCTTCCTAGAAAGGAAGAACAGGCTTGGCTCAATTCTGGCACAAGTGAATAGCTATGGATTTTGGAAATTGATCTAAGGACTCTGTATCCTTGGTTCTGAATTGGGTGGCAATTTTCTGACTATGATGTTGAATTGATCTGGACGTATTTTTAGTTTTACTTTGTTTTAAAATTGTCCCAAAGGTGCTTTTTCAAGAGGCAACTGGACTTTCTGGTTTTTCTTGGAAGACATTTTGCTTCTTATCCAAGAAGCCTTTTTAAAAAGCACCTTTGGGACAATCATGATCTAGCTGACTGAGAATCTCCATAGATATTGTTTTTAAATTGTTTTTTTCTTTCTTGTTCTTTTCTTACTGCTGGTCTTCCAGAATTGTATCATCCTGTTGACTACCAAATTTCCCTGAAAATAAGACTTATCCTTAAAAGAAGCCCTAGCCTGATTTTAAAGCATATATATTAGGCATGCCTAATATAACCCCTACCCCAAAAAATAATCCCTGGTGAAGGGGACGAGGGTGGCCACCACAGAAGGTGGCAAGTATGTGGGGCCGATGGTATCTAGGAGCTGTAGCAGCCCCATGCAGCATAGGTGAGTTGATTATCTCTCTAAGCAGCAGGCAGAGATGCAGGCAGAGACGTGATTTGGACATACTGCATGGGCTGCGGGAAAGCCGAGAGTCGATGGGCCGGAGTGGGCTGCCGGCTGCAGGAAGCTCGTCTCTTGGCTTTCCTGTGGCCTGCGTGTTGCACCTGGATTGCCTTCCTCCCCCCTCCCCCTGCCTCTGTCTGCTGCTTGGACAGGGAATCAACTCACCTGCACTGTGCGGGCTGTGCAGCCCCAGAGCGTGTCAACCAAGGGACTGGAAGGCTGCAGCTGCTTCTGGATAACGTTGGTCCCCGTGTGCTTGCTGTCTTGTGTGCATGCCGGGGATGGGGTATCCAGCTAGGCTGATCACTCTGAAATTGTGTTTCCCCAAAAATAATCCCTAGTGCTTATTTTGGAGCTCCCCCCAAAATATAAGACCAGGTCTTATTTTTGGAGAAACACGGTAGGTAACTCTGGAAGTTGCAGTCAATCCATCTAAAATTTGCCAAGATAGAGAAATTATTGTATAGATGCTTCTCACTACTTTTTCCTATTAAAAGAATCTGTTGTTTTTTTGTCAAGCTTTCAAATAGCACATTAAAATCCCTGGACTTCTGGAACAATTCAACCTGGATCTATGATTATTTCAATCATTTCCCCTCATTAGTCAAGTCCTTAATTACTAGTCAAGTCCTTAATTATTTCTACTGGGATCAGAAAAATTGTAGTAAATATTGCTTGTACATTATGTAAGAAACAATGGATACAATACCTCCTAAAGACCAGTCAAATTTTTGCATCAGCACAGGCTATGTTGTCTACATTGACCATATGGTCTATTGGGGGAACAATGAGTATAAATAAATATTCAAGTGTATCTGAGAACATGAGCATTCTATACATTCCAGCTTGCCAATTTACTCAGCTCCTGTTCAACTCATAATCTTTCTTCTCCAGTTCCTCTCTACAGCAGGTAAAAGAGAAATAATATAGGTGCTTCTTTTAAATTTAACCCTACAAATTTGATCAATTAAAAAAGTGTCTTCCAGTGCAAATTATGGATAAAAGCTCAGCCACAAGTATTTATCTGGATGGCAAGAGAAGTTTTTTTTTTCTCATTAAGACTTCTTCAGCTCTATCTTCAGTTCCTTCTGCTATGATTGTCAAAGCCATAAAACTCAGCACCCAAACACTAACATTAAGCATTCTCCTTTGTGCATTATGTAAGATGCACCAGAACTGAGGGCTTTAAAAAAAGAGACCTGCTAATGCAGAGATCCAACACTTGCCTGTTACTGTGAGGGTGGGGAGAAGGGAAGGAATAAAAACAGATGGATTTATCAGCAATCCAGGAGATTTATGGAACAAATTCTTCCATCTCCAGTAATCCCCTTCTGATACAGAGGATTTTCCTACCATTAAATGATAGCTTTTGAGAATGAGGGTAGAAGCCCAGACAGTGAGAGACACAACACATCTGATGATAAAGGCTGGACAAAAGATGGCACAGCTCTCATCTTGGCAGGTAAGCAAATTTCGTCTTTCTTGCATAAATTCTACAGAAAGATGTGGGGGAAAGATGTTGTTGATTGATGATTGGGATCAGATATATTTATTTCCACACCATTTGTGCATTTATTTCAGTACTGCCATTTCCCCCCAAACTATATTTTTCCAGTCTTCTTTCAGTCTTAATTTCTCAACAAGCATCATAGATATAGGGAAGCTGAAGTTCAGCAACAAGCAGCCATAGGCTGTGTTACCACGCATTCCACAGGCATATTAATTGAGTGGAACTATGGAAGGCTGAAAGACCATTGCTTTCTGAAAAACCATTTTCGAATAGTAATCCAGAGAACAATCATTTGGGAGCAGCCCCATTAAAAACAGCTCTTAATTAACCTCCAAATAAGTGTACAAAGTATTGAAATTTTAGAAGGCTTATAAGTTCAAAAAACAAGAAAAACTCCTGAGAAAAAGATCTGTTGTTTAAACAGGAAATGCATAACATGCATTTTAAAGAATTCTTTTAAAATCCAGAAGCAGAAGCAACCATTACAAGCAAGGATGAATGGAATACTTTTGCGCTTTTGTTTTTTTTAGATTTGCAAGAACATTTGTCAAGTCTGAGATGCCATAGTGAATAATCAGGGTGATGTTGACCATCATTTTAAATGGTAAGTAATTTCTAATTCTAAGAGACTCCACAGATTTTTCTAAACACCAAGATCTAGTTCTTTTATTTTGAAAGCATTGATCATACATTTGTTTGCCTTTCACTTTTGTTTGTGCTGCTGCAACCAATAATATCTAACTACCAGCAGTCTTTATCTAAAAAAAGAGCAAAAAATCTATTCTGATATTTGAATATTCCTGACAAGAACGTTGTCCATCTTATCACGTTTTAAATTTTGGTCTGAAACACATCCATTTCACTTCCATTATACAATATTCAGGCAGTTCTGTATCAAAGGATTTCACTTTTTCTAATTAGCAGAATGGATATTCATGAGCTGATCAACCAACTGCAAATACTACCAGTTTCTTGGTAGATTGATGTAAAGGGGAGGGAAATAGGTTTCTCTTGTTTGTTTGCATTAGATATTCTATTCAGAATAACAGAATTCACAGAGTTGGAAGATATCTTGGAATTCTTCTAATCCAGCCCCTACTCAGGCAGGAAATCCATTCAAGAGAAAGGGATTACTTGATAATTATTTTGGAGTATAAAATATGCTATAAATATTATCTTGTAAAATAGAGGAGGCAATCAATTTTGAATATGGATTACATAATTTGTTGAAACAATGAATCAAATGTATTCCCATCCACTGGAACAAGAACCCTTGAAGATCAGAACTGGGCTTCCATCTTGTCAGGATTACTCTGCAATACTCAAAGGAGGCATATGTCATTCAAACAAGAAAACCTAGTTATATAAACTACATAATAGTGCAGTTAGTTATGCCTAAACAATCTCTTACTATATTACCTTTGGGGTTATTCCTTCCAATAAACAAAGTTCAATTGAAGCTCTAGGAAAGCAAGCATTACTAGTCATTCTGTTATTACCTTGTTTTGGTTAGAAGTGAAAAACACATATAGATTGTGTGAAACCAGGCTTAATAGAGGAATCTTGGAGTCTTTGTGGACAAGCAGCTAAATATGAGCCAACAGTGTGCAGCGGCAGCTAAAAAGTCAATGCAATCCTAAATTGCATTAACAAAAGGAAACAAGATCAAGTGAGGTACTAAGATCACTCTATAAAGCCTTAGGAAGACCACACCTAGAGTACTGCATCTAGTTTTGGTCACCACACTATAAAAAGATGTTGAGACTCTAGAAAAAGTGCAGAGAAGAGCAACCAGGATGATTAGGGGACTGGAGACTAAAACATATGAAGACCGGTTACAGAAACTGGGCTTGGTGAGTCTAGTGAAGAGAAGGACCAGAGGAGACATGGTAGCAGTGTTCCAATATTTGAGGGGCTGTCAGAGAGGAAGGGGGTCAGGCTATTTACTAAATCACCTGTAGGCCAGACAAGGAATAATAGATGGAAAATGAACAAGGAGAGATTTAACCTGGAAATAAGGACAAACTTTCTGACAGTGAGAACAATCAACCACTGGAATAGCTTGCCTTTGGGAGTTATGGGAGCTTCATCACTTGAGGCTTTCAAGAAGAGATTGGACTGCCATTTTTCAGAAATGGTGTAGGGTCTCCTGCTTCGGCGGGGGTTGGACTAGATGACCTACAAGGTCCCTTCCTACTCTGTTAATCTATTAATCAGATGGGAAGGATTCCCAAAGGTGCTTTTTCAAAAGACAACTGGACTTTGTTTTCTCTTGAAGATATTTTGCTTCTCATCCAAGAAAAAACTGAAGAAGGTTCTTGAATGGGAAGTGAAATGTCTTCAAGAAAAAACAAAGTCCAGATGCCTTTTGAAAAGTTACCTTTAGGAGAACCTTGAGTTGGATGACTGAGACTCTCTATAGATAGAAGGGAAGGATGTAACATGGACTACATGGGATTGCCTGTAGCCTGTAAACTACAGTTTAAAAAAAGTAGCACTTAAGAGTTATTTCAGGTTCTATCTGCATTGACATGTCCATTCTTTTTGCAGTGACAATAAAACTGAAGTGGTTTGCCATTGCCTTTGTTTGATTTTCTCCCTCCTTGCTCCCAATCCTCCCAATTTTAGCTTTGGATAGCCTGATGGTTTTTCCATTGAACTAATTAGGTCTGAGCCTTACTTATGTTCTTGAAGATCAGCCAGGTACTGTTACTGGTACTTGTCACATACCCTGCTGGTGCATATTTGAAATCAAAAGGATTAAAAATAATACCTGTAACACTTTAGAGAGAAGCTATCCTATAGGTGATTATACTTCTTTAGAAAGTAAGAATGTGATGTATAACAAGCTTCTTTTTTTAGTGGATGATTTTTCTTGTATTAGCATTAGAGAGGTGGGCCTGCAGTGTTAGATTCCAGGTGAAGTTAGTACCATTTTACTAATGTTTAGCTATTGCAAAACTTACTGAAATGGGTGGAATTCACTATGTCTTCATTGTATAAAACACATCAAAGAATTTGTTAATAAGTCTTGGGAATAAACAAGTCCTAATTTCAATTTTGTTAAACATAGCATTTGTTAAACAGGGCAAAATGGTAATGACAATGCAATGAACCAAACAACACTTTTTTCTAGTTTGTTTTTATAAAACTGAATACACTTTCTACATATGTATGATTTCCCATTTTCTTTAAAGAAAGTAGGATATGCAGTACAAGTGCCTAAAAACAGTCTTCTAGACAAGATTCCCATGATATAATTGACATGATTATTGTGTTACACTGGGGATTCCGTATAACTGCATATACCCTGCTATATTTTAGTACTGAAAACCATGTAACATATTGTTCATTAGATATCGACAGCATATAAGGAGAATTTGTATAAGAAGTTTTACAGATGGCACTTAGCGCCAGCAAGACTAGCAAAAATGTTTAAAGATAAATCAATGAAATGTTGGAAATGTCATCAAATGCCAGGAACATATTATCAAATGTGGTGGACTTGCACAGAAGCTAAAAGGTATTGGACTAAAATATGCACATGGTTGAAAAAAATGATTAAACAACATATAGATTTGAAACGTGAAATATTCCTATTAGGAATGGTAGCAGAAGGTTATAGTAAATAAAAGATTTATTTAATTATACATGTTTTAACAGCGGCTAGAATTGTATTTGCCCAAAATTGGAAAAGTGATAAGATACCGATAGAGAGGAAGATAACCGAAAAAATAATTGAATGTGCAGAAATGAATAGACTGACATTAGAAATTAAAGAAAAAGAAGAATCTGAATGTTATATGGTACGAGATTTGTTTTATCAATGGATAGAAAATAGAACAAACTAAAAGGGATTGGATATATTTAGAGAAATTAGTGTAATAGGTATGTTTGATATTATTATTTACATGGGAATGTGATTATTGTTATATTATTAGATTTGATAGGAAGAATATTATTAACAATGGTTAAATAATTGAAATATTGACGCACGATTGAAATGGAATGGATTTATTGTATATATATAAAAAAATTTTTTACAAAAAATATTGTTAATTAATAACTTATGAGAACTTCTATCAAAAATTAAAGTTCCTAAAGTTAACAAAAATGATTGAATTACCTTATATATTTAGCCATAACAAAACTTGTTTGAAGTTGGATTTTTGTTATGCGAGAACCACACGGTTTTATAATACATTGTGTGAATATGGCCCACATATTGCCTTTAGAAAGTAACATTTCTTCATTCTATTCATTTTCTTACCACAGCTGATAAGTCTGCTTGCTCTGGGCTTATGAGATGTTTTCCTGTATCCCAGACAAATAAATAAAAACAGAGAAAGAGAAAATTACAGGAAGATGGAGAAAATGTTTACTTTTGTATATTAGATCAAATTGCTGTATATTAGATCAAATTGCTGGAGATATATCAAAGAATCAAAGAAAAATGATCATTCTTGATAATTTGTGGTTGGGCCTGGGTTCTAACTTAAAGTGGAGGTTAATTTTTAGTATATTGTGTGAACCAATGTTGCAATTTGTAAACCAGAGTTTATAATTCAACATTTTTGTGAATTATAGAACCACACTGTGGTTTTTTGAAATCATGGCTAGGCAAGCCAAGGCTTTATGTGAGGTGTGAGACCAGTCTGCATAAATCATAATTGTTTGTGTTCATTGCACTATCATTAAAGTTTACTAATCTCTCTTTTCTCTTTCTTTCCTTGGGCATAATGATGGGGCCCTTTCTTGCCAGTCGTACTTTGCGTCTGCCCTGTGCATTTGGTGTGGGCTTGTGTCCGTTCCTGTCCTGCCAGTTGTGTCTGCACTGAAGAGAAGAATTGTGCCATTCTTTGTGACAGAGCTGGCCTTGCACAGATCCCTAATGAGTTTCCTTGTGAAGCATATTCTATTAACTTGGATAAAAATAACATCAAATTCCTTGCTGAGAGGGCATTTGGTACTCTCCCGTCCCTAAAATCTCTCTCAATAAGTCATAACAACATATCCTTTATTACTCCTGGTGCTTTCAAAGGGCTTGCTAGCTTAACTGAGTTAAAAATGGCCCACAACGAATACATTCGTTATCTGCATACCAGGACTTTTATTTCTCTCAAGAGGCTAGTCAGATTGGATTTAGCAGACTGCAATCTTTTCAACATTCCAGACAGGATTTTTATAGAGCTTCCAGCTCTTCAAGAACTCTTTTTCTTTCAGAATAACTTCCGAAGGCTCCCAGGAGCTATAAGAGGGATGGAGAATTTGACCCATGTTTATTTGGAGAAAAACAAGATAGAAGCCGTAGCATATAATTCACTTCTGGGCCTGATCCGGTTGAAATATCTCAATCTGCAAATCAACAGAATAAATGTGATTCATAATAGAGCTTTTCAGGATTGCCAGAAATTGGAGTACCTTTATTTAAATGACAACTTAATCAGTGATCTCCCTGAGAATTCCTTTGATGGTCTGTGGCATTTAAAGATGCTTAATCTTGGTGGCAACTTTCTCAAGATTATCTCTAATACTTGGTTCCAGGATCAATCTGAACTGGAAGTTTTATATTTGGACAGAAACTGGATCAGTTATATTGAGGAAGGTGCTTTTGAAAACCTCACGAGCTTGGTATATTTGCACTTGAACAATAACAATCTAACTACATTGCCTTTCTTAGTCTTTCAACCAGTCTACCTCCTGGGAAGACTCTATCTTTTTCGGAACCCCTGGGAGTGCGACTGCAAGATTGAGTGGCTGAAAGAGTGGATGGAGAACTATGGACTTGTGAGAGATATTCCTTGCACTTCCCCATCTTCTGTAGTTGGCCTTGACTTAATTGATATAATTTTTGAGAAGACAGATGAAGGTTTATGTCTTGACCCAGAAGAATTAAACACCTCATCTTCTACACCTCTTCCCATGCAAGAACTACAGTCGACTGCAGAGAATAAATTCAACAGTCTTATCTCAAAATTTTTACTCCAGAAGGGGCTTTCAGAGGAGTTGATAAACACCACAGAAGGTTTCAGCAACTCTACTCTGTTTGATGACTTGATTAATGAAGCATCTTTAGGACTAAGAGAATGTCATGCAAAACAAATATATTTTAATATTTGGATATTTTTTATATCTCAAGCATTATGGACCATATAACCCAAAACACTTTAAAATTAAATTGGTTGTTTTTCTACTCAAGCATGGTTCAAGAAGAAGATTGTGATATTAATACTACATTCAGAACTAAATCTAAAAATATCTTCTGGACTCATATTTTAAAACTTAAAATCATATTCATAGCAGTGCCAGTTATTTCACATAGTTAAGAAATTAAAATGAGAAAAAATTGGAAGATAATAAACCCAGTTGTCTTTATTTACTAAGAAAGTTTTGCAAAAAACATCACAGGTTTCACCACTATTACTCAGATATGGAAACTACTATAGTATTTAGAAGTTCTGAATGGAATGGAAGCCAAAAAGAGGAGTAACTTCCCTTACAGAGGTTTCACAGACATTTGATACCTGTTGCGGGAAATGATATAGTGGTTTAGATCAAACAATGTCAAATTCTCAGTTTCATTTTGTCATTTCAACTTTCCTTAAGAGGGTGATTTGAAGCCTGCAGGTAAGGCTGGAGTGCAATTTACTTCCTAATCACAAAACTGATATTTATAGGGACTGAAACTAATAGAAGATTTGTAGCTCAGGGTTGAACTATACAGTTCTTGATACTCTGAAGCATTGGAAGATGTTACCTAGGATAATGAATCATCTTTTTTTTTGTAATAAGTTTTTTTTAATTTTTATATTTTAAGAACATCTCTTTTGTTGAACAATGTGGTTACAGGTTTCTACACTTCAATACAAACATGACTTTAGTTACATAATTATCTTTCATATTCAATTTCATATCATATTCATATCTCAGCTTATTTCACTTTTCTTTAAACATTCCATATCTTATTTTATAATATATAACATTCTTATTTTTATTCTATATTCGTTATACTTTTGTACTTTTATCTGTCACATTTGCAATTTTATCTCATACTTTCCCCCATTATTCAATAAATTTTAACTTAATTCTAATAATTTTAAATATTACCATTACCAATTTGAATGTACCACCCCTTTACCTTATACATCACTCCGTGTACTCCCCTTTAGTTCATCATAAAAATTTACTATAATATAATCACATTTTGATTATCACTTTCTAAATTAATAATCTCCTAATTACTACATATCACATATGCATATATATATATTTTAAGTAAGATTCCGCATGGTGTTCTTTCCCTCAATTACATTCTAGATCATGTATTATTTCAAATACATTAGTCTATTCAATTAATTGTAGAAACTCATATGAATGTTTTTTTAAGTTTTTATTTTTTAAGACAAACATATACAAACAATATAAAAAAACATAAAACCATCTTCCACTATATACATACAGCGTGCCAGTTGGTTATGAATCTTTTGTGCAATCCTTTCATACTCGTTACTCACACTTTATATAAATTTCACATTGTCAAACTAACATATGCTTATATATTTATCAATTATTAATCATCCATGACTAAACTATTTATTCCATCATTTTATATGAGATATCCCAAATTTTATTTTAAAATTTATATTGTGCTTTCATCCAATGGTCATATATGTCTACATTATATTTTATATCAATCTATTAAACTTCTATAACAAAATTATTTATTCTGTTTAGATTACCATGACTTTTTATCCAACCATTGATAAAACAAATCCCACATCATATAAAATGGTTTATCTTCTTGTTCTCTGATTTCAAATGTCAATTTACTCATTTCAGCACAGTCCATAATTTTCTTAATAATTTCCTCCTGCATAGGTATTTTTTCGTTTTTCCAGTTTTTAGCAAATACAATTCTAGCCGCTGTTAAAACATTTACAATCAAATATTTCAGCTCTTTGTTGTATATTTCTGGTATGATTCCCAATAAAAAGATCTCTGGTTTAAAGTCTACATGTTGTTTTATCATTTTTTCCAACTATGTGTGGATTTTAGTCCAATATTTTTTTGCATTCGAGCATGTCCACCACATGTGGTAATATGAACCAGGTATCTGATGACATTTCCAACATTTATCCAATTTATTCTTAAACATTCTCGCAAGTCTCGTCCGGGGGTAGATTCCACCTGTAAAACATCTTATACAAATTTTCTTTATATACAGTTGACATTGTCATTTTATAGTTTTGAGACCACAATTTTTGCCAAAGTCAATCCCATATCCAAAATTTTCCCCCAAGCAATCCTCGTTTCCTTAATAAATGTCCATAAAGTTTTTTGATTACCTTTTCATCAGTACCCATGAAAATTTTGTCTAAATCAGTCAGCTTATCATAAATACCTTCTGTTTTAGAATATTTATCAACTCTAGATTGTATTTGGAAATATGAAAACCAGTTCATTTTTACACCTTGTTCTTCCAACACTTGCATAGATTTAAGTTCACCCTTTTCATTCAATATCTCACCATATCTAACTGTTTGTTCCTTTTTATATATTATTGGATAAGAAAAAGCTTCAATGGTAGATATCCATAGTGGGAATTTTTAAGTAGTATTGTCTTTTTATCTTCTCCCAATTAAAAAACAGTGCCTCTTGAATATAATGTCTTCTAAAATACTCCTGTGTTTTAGTTCCCTTATACCAGAGGAAAGCATGCCATCCCAACAGCAAGTCATGCCCTTCTAAGGTCAATAGTCTACTGTTCCTTAATGTTATCCATTCCTTTACCCACATCAAACTTGTCGCCTCCCAATTGGGCAAGGCAAACTGTCCTCTTATTCTTGCATCTTGTAACAGTTTTAGTTTTACTCTTGCTTTTTTACCCTGCCAAATATATTTAAACTATTTAAGTCTTCAAAAAACTCTTTCCCTAATCAGATTGGAATTGTCTGGAATAAATATAAAATTCTAGGCAATACATTCATCTTAATTGTAGATATTCTCCCAATCAATGATAATTGTAGTTTTTCCCATTTTATCAGATCTGTCGCAATCTGCTGTTTGAGTTTGAGATAGTTATCCTCCTCCAGTGTGCTACATCTTGGTGTAATATATATATATCCCTAAATACTTGACCTTGTTTGTGACCTGTATTTCTAAAATTTCTTCCAACTCTTTCTTTTGTCTTGCTATCATATTCTTTGTTAATATCTTTGTTTTATCTTTATTTTCAAACCTACTTTTCCATATTCTTCTATTTTTTTCTATCAATTTAGGTGCTGTTTCCAATGGATCTTTTAATATGAATACCAGGTCATCTGCAAAAGCTTGCAATTTATATTCTTCCTTTTTGATTTTCATTCCTTTTATTTCTTTTTCTTCTCTGATGTTCCTATTTAACACTTCCAATGTTAACACAAACAGCAGAGGTGACAGTGGACAACCTTGCCTTGTCCCTTTTCTTATATCTATAGATTCTGTTAATTCTCCATTTACCATAACCTTTGCAGTTTGTTCATGGTATATCGTTTCAAAGGCTTGGATAATTTTTTTACCAAAGCCCATTTGTATTAATTGAAGTAAAGTGAATCGCCAACTCACATTGTCAAAGGCTTTTTGTGCATCTAAAAACATCAAGGCCATTTGCTTCTCAGGTTGCACTTCATAATATTCCAAAGTATCCAAAATAATTCTCACATTATCTTTGATTTGTCTCTTTGGCAGAAATCCATTTTGGTCAATATGGATAAAGTTATTTAAGTATCTTTTCAGTCTTTCTGCCAAGATTGAAGCAAAGATTTTATAATCTGAATTTAGTAGGGATATAGGTCTATAATTTTTAACTTGCTGTAGGTGTGTATCCTCCTTCGGTATAAGTGTAATATATGCTTCTGACCATGTTTTGGGTATTTTCTTTAGCATAACTTCATTCATAACTTCTAAGAAGTGAAGATTCAATATTTCCTGAAAAGTCTTACAGAATTCTGCTGGCAAATCATCTGGACCTGGTGCTTTCCCAACATTCTGTTTTTTTAGGGCTTCTGTTAATTCCATTATCGTTATATTTCCTTCTAACATAGTTTCAATATCTTTAGGTATCTGAGGTAAATTTGCTTTCTGTAAATATCGCTTAACTTTTTCTTCTTGAATATTCTCTTGAAAATACAATTTTCCATAGTAAGTTGTATAATTTTTTTCTTCTCCTCATTTCCACAGCAAACATGTCCTTCTTCATTTATTAATTGTCTAATCCTTCTTGATTCTCTTTCCTTTCTCAGTTTATAAGCTAGCCATCTGCCTGGTTTGTTTGTGTCTTCAAAGTAATTCTATTTAGCATTTTTAATTTTTTGTGCTAGTTCCTCTTTTTCCATTAGTCCCATTTTATGTTTAATTATATCCATTTATTTTTAATGTCTTTTTTGTGGGGACTTCTGTAAATTTTTTCCAATCTTTTATAATCATCCTCCAATGTTTTGAAAGTTGTTTTCTGTTTTATATTTCTTTTCCTTGTATAGTCTATTATCAAGCCTCTTGTGTAGGCCTTCATCATGTCCCAGAGATTCTGTAAAGATATATCCTCTTTTCTATTTTCTTTAAAAAAGAAAACGAGTTCTTTCTGTTTTCTGTTTAAAGTCTTTTTCTTTTAAGATCATATTATTTAAAGTCCATCTAGATCTCCTCTTGTATCCTTTCCAAATAACTGTCACTGGATTATAGTCTGCCCAAGTGCTTGTTTTTATTTCAATCTCTCATATGTTAGCTAGTAATTCTGCTGACATTCATGTCTTATCTATTCTAGACCATGATGCATGCTTGTTTGAGTAAAAAGTGTATTGCTTACTTTCCACATTTTTCTCTCTCCATGCATCTTTTAAATTAAATTCTTCTGTTATTCGGAAGAAAGATTTTGGTAGTATCTTTCTAGCTTTCTTGGTTGATTTCTGCATTTTATAGTCCAACCGATCGTTAATTATTCCATTGAGATCTCCCTTCATACAAATATTAATGTAGTCCAATTCAATTATTTTCATATGTAATTTCCTGTAAAATTCTTCTTGGTTATCGTTCAGAGCATAAATTGCAATTAAAAGTATTTTAACATTATTATCCATTATTTCCACCATCAAAATCCTTCCATTGTCATCTGTATAGATTAGTTCTGCCAAAATTGTGTCTTTAATATATAATACCACACCCCTCAGCTTTTTCAACTGTGTCAA